CGGTCTTTTAATTCAGGAGGTAGTCTTGGTATGTCTAAAATTCCTCTTTCTAGTGCTCTTAACTCTTCTCCAGCTTCTTTCTGCAGGTCTTCTCCGTGGTCTCTTAAAAATCTGTCTTTGTCGTCCTCTGATCTTATTTTTATCTTTCTCCCTTTGTAGCTGAAGGATAGGCCTTGGGGAAATTCCCACCTAAAGATAATTCCGTTGCTTCTCAGCAGGGCGACCAAATCTCTATAATTGGACCTAAGGTCCAAAAGATATTTCAGAATGTCCTTGAATATCTCCACTTTTGACTGATGTATTTCCAAAGTCTTCTGGAAGTGCAGACTCAAGATTTTATCTCTCTCCTCTTTTGTTCGGAGGGTGATCAAACAGTCTCTCACCCTGTTCTTCTTCCCTCCTCTTCCAAGCCTAAAAGCACTCACTATCTTAAAGTTTTCCTTCTCCAAATCTGGATTCCAAAAGTCTGCAAATTCCTGCGTAAGAAAGTCAGTCAGATTGTCTTTCTCAAGTTCAGGTACGGCCCTGATCCTCAAATTCGTTTGCTTCTCCTTCAATTCAATCATAGACAATATTGACCTGTGGTCTTCAAGTTGTTTGTGAATCGGTGGTATCTTCTCTTCTACAGCAGTTGCTATTTCCTTTGCTTCTTCAGCTGTCTTTCAGGTCAAGGTAGATTCCTGTAGTAATTTCTCAATAGTTTCTGTGTTAGTATTTACCTTCAGTCCCAAATTATTAATACTTGTGGTATTTTGATCGATTTTATCTGATGCTTCAGCTACTTGTTTACTTATTCTTTCCAAAGATTCATTAATTTTACCTAATGCCTGAGCCAAAACATCTTCAGATGCCATTCCTTTGGGTTTAGATTGTGCCAATGCAGCTCCTATTGGTAATCCAGAAGGGCCAGATGTTGATGCTCTTCGCTGCAGCCCAACGTCTGGACGAAATGATCTACCAGACCTCGTCATTTTTTCCTGAAGCAAATCTATTTTCTCCTTTCCATCTGCCATAACACTCTAGATAAGGCCAAGGTCAATCCCACGATCAGAACTTGTTTTGAAGTGGAAAATTCCCCTGGCCCAGCTGTTGTTGTAACAATTTCAAACTTCCTCTAGGGGGACACAGTAACAGTCAAAAATTGTTACCTTAAAGTAATTAACTTTTTTTCCCTTTAATCCCCCAATTCACAAAAAAGACGACAGTTTCAATTTCAGTTATTTTCCAGTTACTTTAAAACCAGGAGAAGCCAGCCAGAAATATTGTATCTCACTTGTATCTCACTTACAGAGTTAGCTGTCAAAGAGTACTTTCACCAGCAGCGCATTCACAGTACGGCATTCTTACAGTTCACTGGCAACCCGTTCCCAGGCTTTAAGAGGTGGATTTTAGCTTCCTTTTCTCTCTTTTTGCAGGGAAATACAGTTCAAACCTTTCCCCCCTCCTCTCCTGCAATCAAGGGGGGAAATCACTTGTTTGATGTTAGAATTATAGTCCTTTTCAAACGTCTTTCAAGGTTTTCGCTTGCAAGTTCATTGCTTTGTTCTATTTACAAAGAACGGAAGGCAGACTTCCTGTTTATGCCTCTCTGCTTCGGTGTCAAATTGCTTCTTTGTTCCTTTATTTCCCAAATTAGTTTCCCAAATTAGCCTACTCACGGATAGTTGTTTTGTAGCCAAATTGTCCCAGGAAAAAGGCAGCGCTCTCCGGTAACGGCTGTGCGGCTTTGCTCCACGGAAGAAGCAGTTGACTCACAGCACCGCGCCGCTTCCCCGCTCCGCTCCGGAACCCGTAATCGGGCTCCTTTGCAAGTTGGGGGGGCGCAAAAGGTGCCCGCCGAGTCTCACGGTCACAGGTTTCACCTGCCTGTGATCTTTTCAAGGGTCCCCGCTTCGCCGCAGCGGAACAGACCCAATTCCCGCAGAGCTGGTCCCTCCGGATCAGAGGGAGTCCGCCATTACCGATGGCGCCACCCCGGAAGTCTAGGCAAGTATCATCCACTCTGCCTGGCAGTGGCTCTTCTGGGTTTCCAGATGGACTTGCCTCCAGTCCTGTCTGGTGATGCCATGGACTGAACCTGAGACCTTCAGCATGCTCTGCCACCGAGCTCCGTTTTAGCTGTCGAGAGCTGCATTTCACAGCTCACAGAAGTCCCAGATCCAGCCGATAGGTTCTGCACCTCTTGGACCAGTATGGGATAGGATCAGGTCAGTTTGTATCAAGATTTGCAAGGGTCTGGTTCCTCCAGCAAAGCGTTACCAGACATCCCCGGTTCCCGGGGACAGTCCCTGGATTTGCAAATCTGTCCCTGGACAAATTCTGTCCCCGAAATGTCCCCAGATTTGCAAATCTGTCCCTGGGAAACGTGGCAGCGGCAGCCTCAGCAGCCCAGAGCCAGCCTGGTAGTGCAGTTGGCTCTGGCTGGCTTCAGGAGCTGCTCGCTGCCATGATGCCCGCCATTTTTCCTCTCTGGAAGTCCCCATATGATGTGTCTTGTGTGCAACACATCATATGGGGACTTCTGGCGAGGAAAAATGGCAGGCACAGCTCCTGAAGCCAGCCAGAGCCAACTGCGCTACCAGGCTGGCTCCAGGCTCCTGACTGCCACTGCTGCCGCCACTGCCGAAGGGGAACTGGGGATGTCCGGTGGTACAGATCTCCTGCTCCCTTTCCCCTTTCTTTTGACTGATCGGGGAGGCACAGGAGTCACAGGTGGGTGGCCATTGCCCTGTTTTTAAAAAACTCTGCACATTTATGTTTCACAGGGTGCGAAAGAAGGGCTTTGCACCTTGCCTGGCAGAGAAACCGCGTGCCCTGCACCCCTCCTGGGCAACGGCCGCCCACCCACTACTCCCAAGCCTCCTCCAATCTGTCAAAACAAAGGGAGAAGGGGGCAGGAGATCAGGGAAGACTCAAGAGTCACAAGCGGGCGGTGCGCCGTTGCCCAGTTTTTAAAAAACTCTGCGCATTTATGTTTCACAGGGTGCGAAAGAAAGGCTTTGCACCTTTATACAATATGCATGTGTGCTTGGGCCCAGGTCTTTTGCCTCACCATTCCCACTACTGACTCCCTGTTGCTACTCAGCTTCAAAAAAAAAAAGAGTGTCCCCAGATTCATAGAAAAAAATCTGGTAACCATACTCCAGCATCCCCAGTCTTACTAGAGGAGATCCAGGGGGAAGCACAGAGTGAGAATTCTGTGCAATCGCTTAGCAAGAATCAAACCTCCTGCACCCACCCACGTATATTGTAGTTAAATGAATTTGAAGCATATCAGACTATCTATATTTAGGTTCCATTTGTCCAGTGCTGATTTTCCAACCCCAGCCTAGGCCCCTTCGCACAAAATGTCTGGCTCCAGGCTGTTTGTCTCCTAGCAATTATCAGTGATGACACTGCAGTTAAAGAACTCCTCTGGCTCAGTCCACCCACCTCTCCTGTTTACAGAAGGCAGGCAAAACCTCTTCTTTACAGAGAGCATTTGTTGTATTTCTGGAACAGTAAAACTGCTACTCTTTGTTGTTGTTTGCGAAGGTTTTTGTCCTCATTTGCAGGATTATTTGCTGCAGATTGTTTTTAATCACTGTGGTTTGTTGTGTTTTTATTATTATGAATCACTTGAAAGCAATAGCTACAAAGCCATCAAACATGAACAATAAACTAAATACACAAGTAAAAAAAAAAAGGTAAAGGTACCCCTGTTAGGTCCAGTTGCGGATGACTCTGGGGTTGCACACTCATCTTGCTCTATTGGCTGAGGGAGCTGGCGTTTGTCCGCAGACAGCTTCCGGGTCATGTGGCCAGCATGACTAAGCCGCTTCTAGCGAACCAGAGCAGCGCACAGAAATGCCATTTACCTTCCCGCCGGAGCGGTACCTATTTATCTACTTGCACTTGACATGCTTTCGAACTGCTAGGTGGGCAGGAGCTGGGACCGAATAACAGGAGCTCACCCCATCGCGGGGATTTGAACTGCCGGTCTTCCGATCGACAAGCCCTAGGCTCTGTGGTTTAGACCACAGCGCCACCCGCGTCCCAGATACACAAGTAAACTCCAGTAAAGCTATTTAAAGCCCATATGTACATACACTCAGTGTCTGCATGGTTAGGCACACACCAGCAGGCCAACTGAGGCATGGCCCAATTTTTCCCCTTTTCAGCAGGAAGGTGTTACCAGAATATAGGGAGGCGGGGCTTTAACAAAGTACTCTCCTTTTAAGTGAGTCAGATTCCACCAAGTCCGTCATCGGTCAGAGATGAATGAGCTGAGGCAGGAACCAGTGAAAGCAAGGCAGGTCTTTAATATTCTGTTGCAACAGAAGTCTCACACCCATCCACTTCCTTTGGTAGGAGATGGGGACCTAGAACAAGGATCTGCAAGAATTGTCCCTGAAGATCAACTAGCTGTGGCCAAGAGACCCACTCTCATCGAAGCTCCGCCAGAAATAGGTTTTATAGTTATTTTTCTCCTTGGCTCGGGGGTCAGATAACTCCATGCATTCTGACATTTCTCTGATGAAAATAGGGATGTCTTAAGGGAAAGCGAGACATTCTGGGATCAACTCAGAAACCAAGACTGTTTCTGTAAATCTGGAACTATCCCTGGAAAATAGGGGTACTTGGAGGATCTGTATTTAATGAGGTGGCTGTCTTCTTCTTCTTCTTCTTTCTTCTTCTTCCTTCTAAAAATTCCTTGCCAGCCTCAGCATACACCAAGTTTCTGAAACCTACAACCCCCCCCCAAAAAAAAAAATATTTCCCCAAACTTGAGAGTGTAGTGGAAAAATTAGCTTGTTCTTGGTTGATAAATTTACCTGAATTATACAGAAGACCATGCTAAACATGGGCCTAGCCAAGATTTTTGTTTGGGGGGGCAGGCTTTTGTTGGGGGGGGGACAGAACCTCAGATTTGTATTGATTCTGATTGATTTAGGGGGGAGTCTTCCCCCCTGCCCCACCCCTTGGCTACACCCATGATGCTAAAAAGCAAAAGCCCCTTAATAAAGGATAACTTTTATTGTCTGCTAACAAGACCAATGTTGCAGGAAAAGGAAGGCAGCTCCATGTTACAAACATAAACTTTTTATACTTTTTACACCCCTGCCTCTTTAAGACATGTAAATGTCTTAAACCAATTAATTACCTCCATTTACAAAGGAACACATCTAAGAACATTCAAAAATAGGTCTGATCATTTAGTCTAGAAAAGACAATACTTGGAGATACTTTTATTTACATAAGTTACGTTTGAAAGACATTTGGATTTCCTGGTATTTTGAAAAGGTGGGAAGTACCCGGGTTGAGCAGCCTTCCTGTTCAATCTCCCATCAGTTTAGCATAATCCGTCCTACCATTATGGAATGTTGGTGTTTGATATGATTTCAGCATAATCCATCTTGCTATTCTATGTTTACAAATGAAGCTATCAAAATACACTTGAGTTTCCTGACAACGTAAAGGTGGGAACCATTGGGGCAATATTGGACGGTTCTTCTGAAGGATTCAACTCCCTGTATAATTTCTTCTGTCATCATGAAATGTTAGCATTCTATTACGATTCCATCTCTGCTATTTTCTAAGGAGAAATTGGGGCTCCCTGACAGATCTTCCTGACAGCTTAGTTTATGAGCTAGAGAAGTTTTACATGGCTACAGAATTGTTTCTATTTGACTGTGCGACCTGTTATTTTTGCCACAATAAAGTGAAAAATAAAACCATACACACTGTACAGCGATTCCTGTGTTACTCTTGTCTGCGGTTAATCTGTCTGTCTGGGATTCATCGGAATGTGCGAGGAAAAAGTTGGGTTTGGATGAGGAAGAGTGAGGAAGCCTTTTTATTAAATGCAGACATGAGCTTTGGGAAAGAAGGGAGAGTTGCTTCTAAATTGGTGGTCCAAGGTGTGTGAAGATTAATCTCCTGAATTTTAGCTCCTAGGCAGGGTTGCATATTTACATGTCAGTAGGTAAAGGCAAAGGGACCCCTGACCATTAGGTCCAGTCGTGACCGACTCTGGGGTTGCAGCGCTCATCTTGCTTTACTGGCCGAGGGAGCCGGCGTACAGCTTCCGGGTCATGTGGCCAGCATGACTAAGCTGCTTCTGGCGAACCAGAGCAGCGCACGGAAATGCCGTTTACCTTCCCGCCAGAGCAGTACCTATTTATCTACTTGCACTTTGACGTGCTTTCGAACTGCTAGGTGGACAGGAGCAGGGACTGAGTGATGGGAGCTCACCCCATCATGGGGATTCGAACCGCCGACCTTCTGATCAGCAAGTCCTAGGCTCTGTGGTTTAACCCACAGCACCACCCGCATCCCTTGCGCCACCCGCGTCCCTTTTACATGTCAGTAGGATGTCTTGAGCATGTCACAGACAAGGGGCCACAGAGTTCCTGCCAAGCAGGTGTTATCCGAGAGAAACTCTTCTGAACTCGGACTGCTGGTGCCGAGTCATCCTGTTAATTGTCCCCCACCAGCCAAGACGACTCAGTGGAGTGACTCAAGGTTCCTCCAGATGGCACCTTCCCCCATGGCTGAGTTAATGGCATAACACTAAATCGACATGGGGGGTGGGATGCTACTGAGAGAGATTAACTGGATCAGGTTTTGAACCACAGTGATTGTTTGCAATATGCCATCTGCCCCAATTCTGTTACTCACTCGTCTGTGACTTGAGGACTATCTGGAACCAGCAGAGTAGGAGAAACAAGGCCATAGCAGCTTCAGTTAGGATGTCATAGAATCAGTACACAGCCCAGCAATAGACCCTTCCCCTCCTCTTCCTGCTCCCATATGGTTTGCCTGGTTGCTGCCACTTTAAGGCCTGTTCTGTCAGATTGGGTGTGTGTGGAGAGAATCTAAAGAAGTACCCACAGAAAATGGCTAGAGGGATGGAAAATACTCTTTTCCTCAAATAGGGATGGATGTGTCTCTCAGGTTCAGCTCCCTCAGTTCTGCATTCCCCTCTCTCCAGTCTTAAATACAGTTCTTCATATTTCTGCAGCAATTTGCTATTTTTTTAGTCCTAATGAAAATTCACTAGCATTTTAGTGCAAACTTCTCTTAACAAACACATTTTTGTATGCAGCCGCCAGCAACCTCCCCTAATACAATGCGTTTCTGTAAACATTGTTTGGTTGGAGAAAATCTGGATGAATGCAAATTTCAAAGGATGGCTACGTTTCGGTACTTATACTGTTTAGGAAAGTGCAAGTTCAGCAGATTTGGCTTTAAGTGTGAACGGGACCAAATTTCTCCCCCTCCACCCCTATTCTCAATTCTGAACATTGCCTTAAATGTAAGGTCAAGCACTCTCATAGCCTCAGATTTTTTCCTGGGCATTTCAAAGCTCTCACTTGACATATCTGGATCAGGGAGACATTTTGGCAGTTTCTGACCTTCAAAGAGGGGTATGTGTGCGCGCACTTGTGTGTGTGTGTGTGTGTGTGTGCTAGAGAGAGAGAGAGAGAGATTTAAATAGGCTCAGAATAAGTTAAACCATGTCCTAATTTGGGGGGGCAGGCCGGGGGAGAGATAGGATCACCCAAGTAATGGGTGAAAAAGAATTTCCTTACTATTAAAGTAGGTATAACCAGCATCATTACAGCCCAATATCATGGGCCAAGCCAATGTAACACAATGGCAGGAAAACCCAGAGACTGGTGTGGTTGCTGCAGAAATCTTACAAAGGACCTGAAAGCTACCAGACAAAACAGTACCCAGGAAATGGAGTTCAATTCAAGGACAAATTGTACTGATAAACAGCACACAGAAGGCTGAACTGCTCAATATCTCCTTTGCTCGCTTCTTTACAAAGAAGGAAAGCTGGGATGAGACATTAACTGCAACAATATTGACAGAAGCAAGAGGGGAGAAGGGGACTCTGGCCAGGCTAACAAAGGGGCATGTCAGAGGAGACTCAGGCAAACAAAGGCCATTCAAGTCACAGAATGGTTCGCCAGGCTTCAAGCCTTTGAGAGGCCTTCTAAGAAGAAAAAAATAATATGACAGAAATATTGACGCACCTAGGGGGAAAGAGCGTGTTATGTCTAATTCATGGGAAAGCTCCCTACATATCAATTTATTTGGGGCATTTATCTAGTCATCCCATAAACAAGAGTCATCTGTAAAACAAACACCACTGGATTAACACATTTTTAAAAATGAAAAGTTAAAACACTGTTTAAAACTGAATGGCCTGAGCTGTGAAAAGTGAGGAGTTGTTGTTGTTGTTGTTTTAAGGGGGGAAAACTGGGTGAATGAACAGGTCTCTTCAGCCAGTGCTGAAGAGACCTAAAAAATTGTGTCAGGAAATCTTTTCTGCTCCTCTGCACCCCAGAGGTTCACTAGCCCTCGTGTGGATTTCAATAACCTCTTGCAGTGGTTGTTAATGAGGGTGTATTTTTCCCCTTCAAATTAAAATATTACATTAACATAGCATAAGACACTTTGAATATAATTTCCTTTCTGCATTTGTCAGAGATAAATCTTTTATGGGAGTCAAGCACTGCCGTTGCTCTCTTTCATGGAAAGCGGGCATCATATTAGACATCACATCTCAGGAAACGTAACATGGCAGTTGCCCATCACATAAGGGAACCAAGCCAGTGCTCACTGGCTCCCATAATAAGCACCACTGCCAATAAGCACATCTGTGAAGAAGGGGGTTGTGTGCAGTAGCAGTGCCCTGTTTGGGGGTTCTGATGGGCATTAGTACCAGGCAGGGGCCAGTCATGGCAACATGCCAAGCTCTGCCACTCCCAAGCTGGCACTAGTCCTGAACACACTGACAATTACAGTGATTATTAAAATTGCTGATGTTAACTTGTTCAGGAAAAATGGCACTCTGCTGTTTCACAACAAGCTCATCCCCACATTTTAACACACAGTTTGGGTAGGGCGGGGGGCAGGGAAAAGAGATAAGAGATCTACAATTTCTGGTGAGGGTAGGGTGAAAAGAGAGAAAATGAAAGAGGAACAGCATAGAAATTACTAAGAATTGTATCAGGGTGTGAGAGAAAAGACTAGAATCTATATGGGATGGAAGTAATGGGGAGCTGTGTAGGGTCTGCCCCACATAATACAGGACATGGGTACAAATGCAGATAATTTGAACAGCCCCAGAACTATTTTCACAGAGCAATATGACAAACAGCAAGTCAATACTTCCAGGTTAATCATACCTGCACTTTGCTTCAGACCCTCTATTATAACTGATGAATCATATAGATGAAGAGCTTATTTCCACTATTTGAGAGTGCTTGCCTGGTTACCAACATTGTGTGAGGATTGCCTATAGGTGATCATGCGGTGAAGCTCCACCTTTCTCTCTAAGGCCTTGAACAACTGGACATATGAACTAGTAAAAAATTGTTTGTATGAATGGTATAAACCAGCTCCACCAAAACCAGGCACTTTATCCAATGCATAGATTGTCAAGCATCTATCCCTCCCCCACCTTCATTAGAAAAGGGATTAGACCTTTTCATATACAGTACATTTGATAGCTATGCAAATCAGCACTGACTGCTACAGTTGCAGAGTAATGAAGATACAAGTATGAGCTAGTTTATAGCTGCCATATCTTAGTAAGGGTGTATCCCTCCACCAACCCCCACAAACTACCTCCTCCATTACACTGACTGATGCCTTCCAGCAGCAGATGGATATGAATTAGATGCCGCCCACAAGGTATAGCATGTAAATACCTTTGATGATTAAAATGTAGATTGACATTTCTCATCTACCGTGCAAAAAGCCCAAGAGACCGTATGGAAGTTTGGAGGCGGGGGGAAATAAACAACTTTACTATACAAATTTAATCCAGCAAGGCTACAACCTAATTCAATATCAGAAGCTTGGTTTTTGCATTAACCATACAAAACCGAGCAGGTTATAAAGAATATATCAACTGCACATGCACAATATTGCAAATGTTCTTGTTTATTCTTTCATATAGCATCATAGAATCATTCTACTCTTCCTGCAGACCAAGGTATAATGAAAAAGTATGGACAAACCTATTAATTACCCAGGAAGAGAGATTACAGCGACTATTCTGCTTCTCCACTTGGTAGGTGGCAGAGCTTCAACAGCAGACATATAGCTGCCTGACCCCACTTTATATAAGAAAGATATATGCTAAGTAATGCAAAATGGGATCTTACAAAAAGCAATGTTGATAGGCTTGAGTTCACATATGAGCCGGAAGTCCCCTTAAAGACTGTTTCACAGTTGTTGGCTTCTTACTGAAGTCCTTAGAAACCTGAATGACTTCAGATGTTGTACGGGAGAATCAGCTTGCATCTTTTCCAAGAAACAAAACATTTAATCAATGCTTCTGTGGATACAGCACTTTCAGTCCTCTGGCTATGTCAAATATTGCCACAATAACCTATCAGCGGTGTCTGGAGAAGAACACAGTACAATACAGAATGTAATTAAGGAGATGAATCTTCACCGCGAATAGCTTTGTACTTGGCCATGTCCTCTGGGAAGACTTTAGTCAGCTCTTGAATCAATAGGCTTTTGAATTTCTAAGAAGAAAAAGAAAAAGTGTCAAGCAGGGAAACTGGGCCTTTTATTAGCACTGAGGGTAGGAGGGAGATAGTATTAGCAGCAGTACCTGCCCAACAACCAAGACCACCATGTGTCAGCAGTTTTATTTGACAGAAAGTACGTAAAGACTTGATCAAGCTACTACTGCCCTACTTTATAGTATCTCAGGCACAAATGCACTCTACACACCTGGTGAATGTACATGAAACCCCCACCCTACTCTGTACCCACACAGTGGTGCTTATAACTTATTGTAATCAGAAGGTTGCAGCTTGCACCCAAGAAGGTTAACAAAGTCCTTTGAGAGCTCCATTCAGTTTCCAAAGCAGTTTGCCACTGTAGCCCAGGGAGCGCCTTCTTGAAGGGAAATGTCCAAAGATCCCTAAGGCAAATGGAAGGCTGGTGCCTACATTACACACCTCTAGGAGCCAGGTGAAAATGTTCCTCTTCAACAAGCCATTTGGCTGATTAACATCTGATGCCCTTTTAAACTTGTTTTGGGAGGAGGTGGGGAGGGGGACTAACGTTTTAGTTTTGTTCTTGTTTTTATTATGAATTTTGTGTTTTTTATCTTGTATTTTTATGTTGTGAACTGCCCTTGGATATACAAATGTAGGGCACCATACAAATTTAAAAATAAATACAATAAAAACAAGTCACACGATTCATTTCATCTAGAGCCAAATTAATATTTTAACTTAGTCTTTAGAAAGCTTATTCAGAATGATATACTACACTGCATTGTCACACACCCCACCAGAGTGGCTTATAAAATAAAAATCAAGTTAACAGCAAGATTAAAATAATGAACCAAAGATTAAAGACTTAGCATATTTTTTAAATTGCCTAGTAACGAAAAGACAATGTAGGCCCAAGGGAGCCTTCCTAGCGGCGGATAACTACACTTCATAAGCAATGTGCCACAGCTAAGGTGATCCTGTTTCTAAAGTCATCGCATGCCTTCCTTCAGATGTCAGGGCTACCTGGGTGAGCTATACTTTGAACTGCAGCTCTGAATCGTTTTCAAAAGGTAACCTTGCATTATATCAATGCAATCCAGGAAATTACTGGAGTATAGGTAGGAGTGGCAGAGAGGATCCTTGTCCAGCAAAGGTCACAGCTGCTGCAGTTACTTCAGATGGTCCAAGCCTGGACCAGTTAACCTCAAATGACAAAACTGGATCTAGAAACACTCTCAGATTGTGAAAACTCTAGGTACTATCAATCAGTTGCAATTTGCAGACCATTCTTAATTTCTAAATACACTTTGAATTCTTGTTACAGAATTTGATCCTTCAGATATAATCGGTGAAGACTGCCAATATATAGGCAAAGCCTATCAAGTCCAATAACTTTGCTATATATTTTGTGTTTCATCTTAGTGAGACTATTTATCTATTAGTGAATACATGTTATTTGAGAAACACCTTTATCTTACCTTCATGGTGTCAATTTTGCCCTTCACCTGTTCATTTTTAGCAAGAGCTCTTTCCAAACACTCTTTAGTATAAAGTTGGGGATTACGGCCTTGATCTATATATCTGAGGAAATAAATCGTATGTCAGGTTTGATAGATGGGTTTCCATACAGTGTAAAACAGACATATAGATCATCTATTCACAACACTTTCTAAAACAAGACACACTAGATTATGTATTAGATATGCAACTAAGAACATGTTGCTGACATTTTTACATCGATACTGAATATACAGGCTACTTTAAGAAGCACTACGACAAGTTCACCTAGCTCAGTTAGCATCAACATACAAGAACTGCCTTTTTAAACAGATGCTGAAAGCCAAACTATTCCCAGAAATATACCTGAGGGGAGAAAAACTGAGAAAATGTGTGAAATAATATTCTGCAAGATGCTTCTTAAAGACCAGAAGAGAGTTTAGTACCAGAAGAGTTTAGTACCACTCTTCAGTACTACTACTGTGTGTTTCCTGCTTGGCAGGGGGTTGGACTCGATGGCCCTTGTGGTCTCTTCCAACTCTATGATTCTATGATTCTACTATGCTGTGTAGTGTACAGAAGTTTGCTTTCTAGCCCTGCTCATCAAAATCATTAAGATGAAGAAGACCGAGATACTTTTCCCAAGGCTTTGGAGATAAGTATTGCCTGTAACCATGTGAAGTTAAACACTTACTCGAAGACTTCCAAAGGCACACTAATATCATGAAGCTGCTGCCGGCACTTGTCAACATCTTGCAAGCCTGTAACCATAAAATTCCTAGGAGAAGGAAACATAGGTTTATTCATTCCCAGAACTACTAAGACAATAGTCACAACAATAGTCACACTAGTCTGTATTCCTATAAGTAATTTTTAAAAGACACAAAAAGAGCATTCTCAAAAATAAAAAGAACAATCTGGAAAACCAAATACTGGCAGATCTCAATCCCTCCCTCCTCTAAATCCATAGAGGAGGTGACTTTTCAAAAGAATATGCATACAGACCTTTCATCTATTAGCAATGACCAGCAATGGAACCTCCATGTTTATAGACTTCTGACTACCAGCTGTCTAATTAAAGACAATTTCAGGAGTAAGAATGCAAGAAGAGCCTGCAGGATCAGGCCAATAGCCCATGTAGTCCAGCATCCTACTCTCATAATGGCCAACCAAGTACCTATTGGAAGCTGACAAAGCAGAATATGTGTGTAATTTCACATTTGTAGCTTCCAAGAACTGGTATTCAGGGGCATACAGTCTCCAACAGTGGAAACAGAACATTTCTTTCTCCTACATGATTCTGTCTAATCCTCTTTTGAAACCATGCCATCCAAGATAGTGGCCATCGCTACTTCCTGTAGGAGCAAAATCCAGGAATACATACCCATGCATACGCTCTCCAAACCGATGTCAAAAAGATTGTACACAAACGGAATGACGTTGCATTATCTTGCCCAAGGCCACCCAAAGTGACTTACAAACAAACAAACAAACAAACCCCAATAGATACATTAAGACCAATGGAGTGGGGGAATACAATGAAAAACATTCCACCCACTTCTAAAAGGCCACAGTGGCTGTGTGATGTAGTCGTCTGAGTGCTAACTAGGACTTGGGAGACTAGGGTTCGAATCCCCACTTGGCCATGAAGCTTGTGGGGCCAGTCACAGTCTCTCAGCCTAGCCTACCTCACAGGATTGTTGTGAGAATAAATGGGGAGGGAGGCGAACTGTGCAGGACACCCTGAGCTCCTTTACTGGGAGGAAAAGTGGGATATAAACGTAATAATAAAAATACATAGATTAAGAAGCCAAAGGCTTGGGTTAAGAGGTAAGTTTTCACCTGGGACCTGAGGATACGCAACAATGGCGCCTGGCGAGCCTCCCTGGGGAAAGAGCATCCCACAAACAGAGAATCTTAACCAGATTACGTTTTCTATATGACCGCATGCAGGGCAAAGTGCAGAGGGGAAAAATATACAAGATCACACATCTTTTGGCAACCTGACACGAGTAAACCACAATCAATTCATGAAAATGACTTAAAATCAACCAGTACGTTTCCGAGCACAATTCAAAGTGTTGGTGTTGACCTTTAAAGCCCTAAACGGCCTCGGCCCAGTATACCTGAAGGAGCATCTCCACCCCCATCATTCAGCCTGGACACTGAGATCTAGCACCGAGGGCCTTCTGGCGGTTCCCTCATTGCGAGAAGCAAAGCTACAGGGAACCAGGCAGAGGGCCTTCTCGGTAGTGGCACCCGCCCTGTGGAACGCCCTCCCATCAGATGTCAAAGAGATAAACAACTACCTGACATTTAGAAGACATCTTAAGGCATCTTCAGGAAAGTTTTTAATGTGTGACATCTTAGTGTATTTTTGGTCTTTGCGGAAGCCGCCCATAGTGGCTGGGGAAACCCTGCCAGATGGGCGGAGTACAAATAAATTATTATTATTATTATGTACGCAACAACAGCAGCAAGAATACTCATTGCAAAGTATTGGAAGACACAAGAGCTTCCCACACTGGAGGAATGGCAGATGAAACTGATGGACTATATGGATCTGGCGGAAATGACTGGTAGAATCCGTGACCAGGGAGAAGAGTCGGTGGAAGAAGATTGGAAGAAATTCAAAGATTATCTGCAGAAACATTGCAAAATTAAAGAATGTTAGAGTGATGTTGGATTGAAAATAAGTGGCTTCTAGCTATACAGGCTTTAAAGTTATATATAGATCAAGATTAAGGATTAGGATTTAAAAAGTTAAAGGAAATGGAAATTTGGCCTTTAAGAGGTAAAAATTTAATGTTATATTATATTAAGATTAAGGATTGGGATTAAAAAAGAGGGAAAGAAATTGCTGGACAAACAAATTGAACTGGAATACAAAAGAGGGAGGTATGAGGAGGTCCAGAAAATAAGTAAATTTAAAAGTGGTGATGAAAAGGTGGCATTGTTTTTAACTGTTTTCTTTTTTGTCTTTTGTTTTTTTTGGATTATGTATTGTGTATTTTTGAACTGTGTATTTTTCTTTTTTCTTTTTAATTCTTTTTAATTGATGTGTTCTTTTTATTGGAAACTCTAATAAATATCATTTAAAAAAATATTATTATTATTATTATTATTATTATTATTATTAACATCGACAACTTAATATCAAATAAAGCGACAGTCGATTAACCCACTAGGGTATAATGGCGCACAAGGAAACAGCCGCTCCCCACAATAACTGCTCTCGCCACCCCCGAGCCTTCGGAGCAGGTAGCTCTGGGGGCGCAGAGAGAGGAGGGGGGGCACTCACAGCTTCTGGTTGAGGCCCGCCTGGCTGCTGGGCTGGAAGTCGCTGACGATGATGCCCAGCTGCCGGATGTTCTCCACGAACTTCTCCAGGTGCTCCTCCAGGGAGTCGAACTTCTCCGCCATCCCTTCGGGCCTGGCCGCCGGCGCTGCGGCGATGGAAGACCCTCCCTTCCTCCTCCTCCTCCTCAAAGCTCCCTCGCGGCGCCCGTTGCCAAGGGAGCCGCCATCGAGGCCGTCGCGGCCGCTTCCGCTTCCGGGTCAAGCCGCGCTCGTTCCCTCTTCTCCCCTCTTCCCAGCGAGAGGATTCAGCAGCCTCTCCGGCTTAGGCTCCGCCCCCACGAGAGAGCGAGAGAGGGGGCGCATGCGCAAGCCGCCGTTCTCAACCTGTGGCTCCCCAGACGTTGTTGGACTACAACTCCCATCATCCCCCAGCTCTGGCCTTGCTAGCTAGGGGTGATGGGAGTTGTAGTTCAACAACATCTGAGGACCCACAGGTTGAGAAAGGCTGCCAGGCTTTTCATAGTGAGGGGCGGGTTAATATATTGCCCCGCCTCCTGCTGGACACCGCGGCCGCCGCCATTGGCCAGACGAGATGCTAATCTGATTTTTTTCCCTTGTTGTGAGCCAGAGAAGCCATTTTTGTGTGCTCCTCGTGTTCTTATTCCCCCCTCCCCGCAGAAACACACGCTTCATTTTTTATATACCGCTTTGAGGTTGTTGTTTGCTGCCCCCCCCCGCGGCAATCAAGCGGTTTCTAAAAGTCATGAATAAAAATATATACGTCCATCATAAATTAAGTCTCCAATTGATTCTCGGGATTATATATTTATAATTGATAAATATTACATGTATATATTTATTTATTTATACCCTGCCTTGTTCCTTGAAAGGCAACCGAGGCGTCTTACAGATGAAAAATGTTCTCAATAGGGCTGCACATGGGGTGGCTGGTCACACATTTTATAATAAAAGAAGGGGGTGATTTGCTCCAGGGGAGTAGCTCTCCCCATTTTTCTCCCTCCACTTCAGCAAAGGATGACAAATGTTTCAATAGATCCACTTTAGTTTCAAGGTTACTAGGAATTATAACTCTGTGATGAGTAAGCTCCAGTCCCAGAGGTCTTTGAGGGAAATAATGGGTTTCAAATGTGCTAATAATAATAATAATTCAGTGGTACCTCGGGTTACATACGCTTCAGGTTACATACGCTTCAGGTTACATACGCTTCAGGTTACAGACTCCGCTAACCCAGAAATAATACCTCGGGTTAAGAACTTTGCTTCAGGATGAGAACAGAAATCATGTGGCAGTGGCGCAGCAGCAGCGGGAGGCCCCATTAGCTAAAGTGGTGCTTCAGGTTAAGAACAGTTTCAGGTTAAGAACGGCCCTCCGGAACGAATTAAGTACTTAACCCGAGGTACCACTGTAATAATATCATCATCATCTGGCCTGGATAGCTCAGTTGGTTAGGGCATGGTGCTGAAATGCCAAGGCTGCAAATTCAATCCCCTTCCCAGGGCAGTTCCATATTCTGGCATTGCAAGGGGTTGGACTAGATCAGGGGTTGTCAGCCTGGTCCAGGGGTCAGCAACCTTTTTCAGCCATGGGCTGGTCCACGGTCCCTCAGACCATGTGGTCTGGACTATATTTGGGGGGAGGAAAATGAACAAATTCCTATGCCCCACAAATAACCCAGAGAGGCATTTTAAATAAAAGGACACATTCTACTCATGTAAAAACACGCTGATTCCCGGACCGTCTGCGGGCCAGATTGAGAAGGCGATTGGGCCGCATCCGGCCCACAGGCCTTAGGTTGCCTACCCCTGGCCAGGTCCCTACAGCCCACAATTGGACGTTTCAGGATTCCAGGTGGGCGGTAGGGGTTTCTACGGCACAAGCTGAATCCTCCTTCCATCGAGCACTGGTGGGCGGTAAGGAAATTTTACCATCAAGAAAGATGCATTTGTGGGCGGTAGGTATAAAAAGGTTGACTACCCCTGGACTCGATGATGCACAGGATCCCTTCCAACTCTACAATTCTTTGATTCTGTGAATGGGTTGTCCCAGCCAATCTGGGCAGCTTTCAGCAAAATATGAAAACACAATAAAATCTCAAACATTTGCTGTGGGCTAGTGGACCCCAATACATTAAAAACTTCCCTGCTCACAGCTCTCTGACCCTACAATGCATGCATTTACAACCACCTCTTTGACACATTTGCACTTTATATTTTTTTAGGGTTACGCTTTAAAATATTAGGTGTACATCTAGAATGCATAATGCATGAAAACGACCTCAGTTGTTCAGTAAAGCTGCAACTTCTCAGCTGCCCAGAGTTGTTTTAATCATGATGATCTAACGGCAACATAATTCTTCTTTCTTTTTTTTATGGCAGCAGGCGTAGCGCTTAGTCTTGTTTTTCTTATACAATGTAAAAGAACAAACCAGCGTTTGTGATTAATTATCAGCCCTGTACCTTCTGAAACCTAAGAAGCGCTGAGCTTGCAATAACCAATGCTAAAGCAGCTCTGGACAATGGCACAAGATATAAATCTTACATTTTACCAATGCAGAGTCTCTGGGCCTGCCATATCTATCAAACAAATAACATCAATATTCAAAAGTACTTTATTTTCCTGAAGGTAAATCAATATTTTATAATAATTGGCGTCGTTTACAAATGCCAGGTGCTTACTGTTTTACAATACTTCCTGGGGTCTCCCCCCCTTCTGCTATGAAAAACTCGGGAGTTATTTCTGTTATCTTTGCTTGCCTTTGTTCCTTTGTTACTTCATATATAAATATATATGGGAGAGAGGGAGAATGTCTCTATTTCTGCCACCTTGGTCAATAACTAGCAACCTATGTGTGCTCAGATTTCTTTGCAATAAAGCTTTGCCAGTAACTCCTCTGAAATTATTAGATCTGCAAATGTTTTCGTATTGTTGCAAGTCCAATTTACCCCGCTCCGAAACTTTCCTATTATATCAGGGAGAGTGATATTTTCCCAAGATGTGACCTGCGCAGTTCCCCACCCCCAGGTTCGTGTGAATTTGGGGCTTTCTCCAACAATCTGCTGGGACAGGTTCAAGGCTCTTGCGTTGTTATACAAAGGCCTGAACAACATGGGTCCAGGGCACTTTAAGGACCACCTGTGCCCTTGCATTCCAGCCTGAGATCACCGAGACAACGCTGTTTGTTGTCCCTCATATTGTGACCTCAGCTATTTAGTGCTGGGCATTTAGTGATGCTGATCCCATATTGTGGAACACTCTTCCAGCAAACATCCTCACTTCTGATTTTCATGCATCTCTTGAAGACATTTTCATGCTGACAGGCCTAGGCAGTTGTTTAAAACTTTCTTGGTTTGCTAGTCATTTTAATGATGGTTTTATCCTGCTTTTAATGGGTTCTTCATGGTTTTTATGTTACAGTACAACATCAGGATATTTCATGAGAGGTGTAGTATAGAAGTACTAAATAAAACAATGCTTCCAGATCTCTGCATGTATGCTTAGTTGTATGACAAAGCACATTGTGTGCAAGCAAGTGCCGTCCTCAATCCAGCAGTTGGGCTGTGTGCGAAGACTCCTGTTTAAAGACCAATAACACTTGGGAAGGGAAGAAGAGGTGCTGTTTAGTTCTCCTTGCTCCTTCATGAACAGCTGATCAGCACTATTACTGTGTTTTGGAGAAGGCATGCATGCAGTTGGGTCAGAGCCATAATATTTTGCCCTCACGGCTACTTTTTATTTTGTTTCCAGGTGATCATGCAAATTAAGCCTACGCACGTTATGACCCACTGGGTGAAAAGCAGCACACTAGCTATGTATGGCAACTGAGGTTAACAGGGTTTTGATAAACCTTGTGGTTTTCCTTCCTGAAAAAACAAGACCTGGCGCACCACAAGGCATAGCTGCATAGCTGTCAAGTGTCCCTTATTTGAAGGGACAGTCCCTTATTCCAGCGCCATGTCCCGCTGCTGTCCCTTACTGATGGATGTCCCTTAAATGTCCCTTAAATGATGTCCCTTAAATTTCAAAGGAAGCAGCTCCTCTCCCTCCCTCCCTGCCGGCCAGGGAGGAGGAAGGCTCCAACTGTGTTGCTCACCCAATAAGAAGTCTAAGAACGACTGGGGGGGTGGAGCTTGCATGCCTTGTGCTGATCAAATCAGCTGAGTTCCCTGGGGACTTGCCTTTGCTCAGCACTTCCCAGCGGAGAGGTGATGGTGGTTTTCCTTGAGGCTTCGTTTGGCTGCTGGCTGGGCTTTCTGCCTTTGGCTCAGAGGGGCTCGGAAGTTGAACATACCTGTGCTGAGTGCTCAGATCAGAATCGGATAGATACATCATCGACGGCCCACTCACCCTTGCCAGCGAAAAGGTCTGTCTGGAGCGGGGGCACATGGTGGGGGAAAAGGAAAGGAGATCTCGTGGGAGGGGGGGAGGCTGTGTGTGTGTGGCTAGTTAATGCAAGCTGAGGAGGTTTTTGAATGCTGGTCGCCATTTTGTTGCACGTGCTGCTACAAACTTTGCAGTGCAAAGCCAGGCCGGGGAGCCATCTTAAGTTGAGGCTGCATAGGCCTTGTGGTGCATGTGATTCAGATTCTATTCCATTGAACCTCTAGTTACAAAGTTGGTTGGACAGTGTTCTCGAAGCTACCAGCATGAGTTTGACCAGACTGCAGGGGGACAGGAAGACTGGAGTGCCTGGAACCGGTGAGGCTGCAGGTCCCTTATTTTCAAGGCTGCTGGTCCCTTATTTTCAAATCTGTAAGTTGACAGCTATGTAGCTGGTGCTAGGTTGTGTTTGGTCCAGTGGGCCACATCAATTAGAGCCTGAAAGCCTAATAGAGACCATTGCTTTTGGCTGACTTCGATTTAATATAAGTACCCATATCAACATGGGAGTGCGAAAGTACTTTTGCACACTCGGGTTTATTGTGTGGAGTTTGCCACTGGGCTGTTGAGGTAATGTGAGTGGCGTTGGTTCCTCAGGCTCAGGGGATGGTACCTATGAGAGTCGTGGCTCTGACTCTCCAGGACCTGGTGATATTGGAGGTTCTCCTGAGCTCCTGTCTCATCAGCCTCAGGCACAATGTCTTCTGATCTCCAGCAGCAATTTCAGAGCCCTGAATCTGGTCTCGCTCCTTAGCTGGAGACTCTATAGCTTCTGCCTCTTGAGTTTTGATAGCTGCTGGATTCTGCAGCTAAGCAACGGACCTCTGTCAGTGTCTCTCAGTACAGCATACTACATAGGGCTATAAAATGAGGGACTCTCCACATATCCTACCATGAGCTTCTTAGAGAAAGGGTGAGGTACAAATGCAATTAACTGAGAATTCCTCTGACCAGGAATACATTGTTCAAAGCCAAAACAGTGACTCACAATTTTTACCCTAAGAGAGCACACACCTAGTCAGGAAAGGATGCTGCTTCAGCAAATAAGTGCATGGCGTATTCATCATGCCAAATACATTAAGGGGGGAAATGCAGAAAATGTGTGCACTGGTGCTTTTTGTTCTCGCAAGCATATGCCGAAACTGAGACAACAAGAGCAAAAAGAAGAAGAAGAAAACCCCCACTTCCTAGCAAATTATTGTTCCTAGAACTGCAGCCCTACTGAAATGGCAGTTGCATGCCTTGTAATTTATAGATCTGCATGTTTAAATGGCACAGGGGATTTGAAGGAGGCAGTGCTGGTTCATACACTCCCATCTGTTTTGCAAGACTTCCCTATACTTTAATTAGTCCATATCGGAGACATATTAATGAGTACGGCAGAATAAAATTGCTTGAAACCCACACCATGGAATACCACCGCCTTGATGAACAACAACAATTTACTTGAGTAAGCATTACGTTCTCATTATATGTGCCCTTGGAAATGTATAGGGCGAAGAATCGTCCAGTCCCATAAAGTTAGCTATAAATTTCAAAGATTACAGCTGTCCAAAAACACTGTTCCTGTGTGACTGGCCAAGTGTGTCATTCCTCCTCAGATATTTGCACTAGTTTCCCCTCCCAAATACAACACTTTCAAAGCTCTTTAGGACCAAGTCCACCCTGTCTTCCTGCCCATGATGTTGGATGTGCCATCTCTACCCTTTCTGTCCATTCTTCCTTGCTGCTCCTTTATGCCTAGATTAAATGGGCACAAGACGTTGGACATAACATAATGATGGCTGACTGGGAACAGTTGTGGACCACAGGTATGAAGTTTATGGCATGCAATGCCTTAAGAGAGAATATTATGAAAATGATATACAGGTGGTACATAACCCCAGTCAAGCTTGCAAAAATCTACCATTTGCCCGATAATAAATGTTGGAAATGTAAAGAAACTGAAGGTACATTCTTTCACCTTTGGTGAACGTGCCCAAGGATTAAGGTTTTCTGGGAGATGATTTATAATGAATTGAAAAAGGTATTTAAATATACCTTCTTGAAGAAACCAGAGGCCTTCCTCCTGGGCATAGTCGGCCAATCGGTGTTAAAGAAGGACAGAACTTTCTTTATGTATG